ATTTTGTGGGAAACATTAACAGCATAGTAATCCTTGAAGAAATATACGTTCTTTAAAAGCAACTACATTATGTAACTGAATTGGCAATATGTGTTTTAGGTCAAGGTGTGTATTACGAGGTTCTGTAATTAGTTAAATTTGCAGCGTTAGCCTCTGGGCTGAGAACAGGTAGCCTTATTAATGGTAAATAGAGGTACTCATTAACCCGGGCAGTGACACTGACGGTAACATCATCTAATTACAGCTGCTGCGCGTCCCGTTGGGGCAACCATGTGCGGAGTGCTGAGGAAAAGGTCTAAGTCATTATTAGCTTTTTCACGCACCTCGCTCAGTGTTCTAGTTTAGTGACGAGTGCAACAAACCGTTTATTGAAAAACCTGGTATCTTTTTATTTAAGCCAGTATACATTTAGGACTTCCTTTTCCAGTGCTAAATAACTGCTAATTAAAAGTGCTTTTTGTTAATATTTAGTCATACTAACAAAATGAGTCAGCTGTGGATGTTGAGAGCCAATCGCATAGCACCAAGGATGATGTAAACATCAACAGTGCTATCACGGCGGAGCCCTTATGGATCAGTGGGAAACAGACCTCTGTTCTACAATCGACTGTCCTCTGAGTCCGTAGATTAAATCACCCTCTTGTCTTGCAGTTGGGCCTTTCCATTACAAAAGACAAAGGGAGGCGGCTTCTTTACAATGATGTGCCAGACTTGTGCTGCACACTCATTTTGTTTTGGCTCTGACTGCCGTGGAATACTAATGCATCCTCAGTTATCTGAACTCGGATTATATATATCCACGCCACAAAGTGTGAAGCTTTAAAACAGGTTTTTAATATTATTGATTCTAGCACGGTTTCAGTTAACTCAGGATAAATAAAAGAATAACTCCAAGAAATAATTTGAATAATAACACCAAGTAATCATTTTTAATTCAGAAAAAAAAGAAGAAGAAGAAAAAAAAAGATGTCTAAATTAAGGCTGGTTTCCATACAAGACAATTGTACAAGAATTGTAACTGATTATTGCTGAAATTTGATTATTATTGTTAAATAAAAAGATGCCTAAATTTAGGCTGGTCTCCATACAAGACGATTGTATGAAAATTGTACCTGATTAATGTTGAAATTTGATGAATGATTATAATTGTTATTGTTAAAAAAAAAGATTCATAATGACTAAATTTAAGCTCGTATCTATGCAAAACAACTGTAAAACAGTTTGATTATGGCCATTATTCACTCATTCTGTGTACTTAAATATTCACAATGCCTACGTTTAGGCTAGTTGTCATGCAAGGCAATTGTTAAAAATTGTAACTAACTATTGTTGAAAATTGATTATTGTTACTTATTCTAGCATGATTCAAATAACTCAGGATAATATAACAACTCAACGCAATAATAACTCCAAACTATCAACATGAGTTTAATTCTGTCCATTTTTTTGAAAGTTTCACTCATTTTGTGAACCTTAAAGGGGTCATATGATGCTGCTAAAAAGAACATTATTTTGTGTATTTGGTGTAATGAAATGTGTTTATGCGGTTTAAAGTTAAAAAAACACATTATTTTCCACATACTGTACATTATTGTTTCTCCTCTATGCCCCGCCTTCTGAAACGCGTCGATTTTTACAAAACTAATCGGTCTGAAAAGCGAGGTGTGCTCTGATTGGCCAACTATCCAGTGCGTTGTGATTGGCCGAATACATCAAGCATGTGACGGAAATGTTACGCCCCTCACATACTGTTGATGGAGTATGGGTCACCATACTTGGCCACATGTCACGTCACTTTTCACTTTTTCACTTTTCACTTTTCAATATTACAGCGAGAATAAAAGTTACTCCTTCTTTCTTTGCGTGAACATTTGTGTGGCGTTATGCAAATCTTCCCACACAGTTAGGTAGATATGTGGGGGCGTGTTCGAACGAGCCGTTTTAGGGGGGTGTGGCTGACTCTTAACTTTTATAAAGAATATCTCTTTGGATTTGAGACTTTAGTCTTTGCAACTTTACAGATCTTCTTTATGCACCAAGAGCTTGTAACACTCCAAAGAGAAAGGAAAAAATGAAATTGCATCATATGACCCCTTTAAATAAAAATATTCATAATGCCTATATTTAAGCTGGTCTCCATCTCTATAAAAAAAAAAACACAGTAGATCCAAGACTGCATTTTTAAGTTTTCTTCAAATGCTGAAGTTTTAAATTTCTCAGCATGAGAGACATTTTACAAGCCTTCAGAAACGCCATGCAGAGCACCACATTAAACCATTTTTTACAGAAAGGCTCCCATGAGAGAACGATTTCCCACCAGGCTTTGAAATTTCACAAGCAACTCACTTGTTGAATAGCATCTCACTTGCTTAACCTGTCTCCAAAAATATGTTTTTACAGTATATCGCCTAAAGCCTTTCTCCTCCTCCTTATTCACTTATTTCAAAGTTACGTATTCCTACATGGTTATTTTCAGAGCTTGCCCTATACACTCATTTATGACTTTGAGCTATGGTCCTTTCTGCTGAGTGTGAAACTTAATTTGTGAGTGAATCTATCTAGTCCATTGCACTCTTTGACAAAGAATATCCTGAGAGCCGTTTTTTTAATTTTCTGTAGTGGTTCTAATGGAAAGGTGTCAGAATACACAGTGCATTATTTGTTGCGTATGGGGCTGCATAGCCGCAGACCAGTCAGGGTGCCCATGCTGGCCCCTGTCCACTGCCGAAAGCGCCAACAGTGGGCATGTGAGCATCAGAACTGGACCACGGAGCAATGGAAGAAGGTGGCTTGGTCTGATGTTTTATTTTACATCACGTGGATGGCCGGGTGCGTGTGCGGCGCTTACCTGGGGAACACATGGCCCCAGGATGCACTATGGGAAGAAGGCAAGCCGGCGGAGGCAGTGTAATGCTTTGGGCAATGTTCTGCAGGATAATGCGCCCTGCCACAAAGCAAAAATGGTTCAGGAATGGTTTGAGGAGCACAACAATGAGTTTGAGGTGTTGACTTGGCCTCCAAATTCCCCAGATCTCAATCCAGTCAAGCATCTGTGGGATGTGCTGAACAAACAAATCCAATCCATGGAGGCCCCACCTCACAACTTACATGACTTAAAGGATCTGCTGCTAACATCTTGGAGCCAGAAAGCACAGCACACCTTCAGGGGTCTAGTGGAGTTCATGCCTCGACGGGTCACGGCTGTTTTGGCAGCAAATGGGAGACCAACATAATATTAGGAAGGTGGTCATAATGTTATGCCTGATCAGTGCTTTCTGAACATTGTGTGTTCAACAATTTAAGCTCAGTTGGTAGTACATGTACCATAATGTTGATTACCACAAAACATTATTTATACTTGTCCCTCCTTTCCTTTAAAACTTGTATTTAAAAAAAAAAAAAGTAATAACGAATCACTTAACATGGTAGTGAATGGGGCCAATCTGTAAATGTCAAAATACTTAAATAGTGTAGCCACAAGATGTTAACAACACGTGTTTAAAAAATCACTTACTGACTGTTTCTGTGTAAAGTTATGTCCAATTATGCAACTTTATATAATAGATTTATATTTATAAATTATACATCATTTTAATGCCTAAAATGACAGTAAAAATGACAATATAATAATATACAAGTTAAAATAATACACAAGCTAAAAGTTTTAACAGAAGAATACAAAATCATTTTTAGTCTATTGATCCCAGAAAAAAAAAATCAGCTTTCAACATCTCCATTCGCTCACAGATCTCCATCATACAGGTCTCTCTCTCTCTCTTTTTGATATATTGGCATTAGGCCCAGGCAATAAGAAAATACCCTCATAGACCTACATGATTTATTGAGAAAGAAAAAATACATCAGCTCCAGCTTGAAGCGAAATGATGGCCGCTCACTCTGCCTGCTAAATAGGGCCCCCAGTATGCTGTGGAAATAAAATAATTTCTCACATCTAAACAGCTGGCAGGTAATAACACCTTGTGTTCTGTGACCACCGTAAGGTATGTGAGTTTGGTCGCTGTTATAATCCAGTGACAAGAGCAGATGAAGGGTGACTGTGTTTATGTGTGTGTGTGTGTGTGTAGAGGAAGACTGCACTCTGGCCCTTCTGTTGTAATGCATGAAAGTTAGAGGAAAGTCACATATTCCATGGAGAAAGACTGTGCTAGGCCATCATCTGGACCGGCTGATTGTCTATTCAACTAGCGTTCTGTATTAGCATTCAGGAGGTGGTTCATTTTTAAATGGGTACGTTTTTAGGAGACGCAGAGTTTCATGGATTCTTGGCAAGCAGTGCTTGAGCTGCGGTGCCGTCATTGAAGCCGAACATAGAAGCAGACAATAACAGCACAACACTGCGGTCACATTTAGAAGAGCTGTGCCTGCAAACCCTTCATCTGACGAAATTTGCAATGTAGCACAAATCTCAAATGTCTTATTGCTTTAAAAATGGTTACTATATATAATAAAAATGATATGTAATAAAATATATGTAAAACTCTGTTCATCATATTAAGGAATCCTGTTTCTTCAGAAGACTTCATATGGACTTCTTTTATGTTCTCTTAATGAACTTTTCAAAGCATCAGTGTTTTGGTGGAATGGACTTTCAACGGAGGGAACAAAATCTCCCAGGTTTCATTCAAATATCTTTGTTTCGAAGATTAACAAAAGTCTTATTGATTTGGAACGACATGATGGTGAATTAATGATGACATAATTTTCATTTTTGGGTTAACTCTGCCATTAAGGACACAAATTATCATCAGTACATTAAGTATTTAAGTCATTAAAGGGATAGTTCAGCCAGAAAATGAAAATTTCTCATCATTTGCTCTCCCTCTGTCATTTTAAATGTGTATGACTTTGTCTTTTTCTGTGGGAAACAAAGGAAGCTACTGTTTTTGAAGAATTGTGAACTGTTTTTGTTCATACAGTGAAAGTCAGTTGGGACATTTTTTTGAGACATTGTTCAGTAATATCTTTTTTGTCTTCCATAGAGGAAAGAAAGTCATGCAGGTTCTTCATAATCCATCATCAATTGGTAATTAAAATGTCTTAATTGAAATCTGCCTCAATTAATTAACACTTGCTAAATATAATAGTCTTTCTTTTTATTTGTTGGTTTGTGTCTTGCTGAAACACTCTCGCTCTTTGTTGAGGCTTCATTCTCTCTCATTCTCTCCCCACAGATGCTTGTTTAAAGAGACATGCTGAGTCTCCCACATCAGCATTTTACCTCCTGGAATCGCAGCCAATTTGTTGATTTAAGTCACACACTGAGTGGAGATTGATGGCTCTGGAACTGCAGGACTCCTTATCGATTGATCACACAGCCTGTAGATATGTGCTCTACCGAATCGATCATCATTGTAAAGTGTGTCCATAAACACCCAATGAAAGTCCTTTAGTCTATGTAAGATTGCGCCAAATGATCTGGTGAAAATTGCTATGCTAATGGCCATGCAGATATTTGGGGCAATATTTTAGTGGATTGCCATCATAGCTCAAATCTTTCTTTTTCCTGTATCTTTTTGGGAAAATGTTGTTGCTGAAATGTCAGTATTTCATAAGAGAAGCATGGAAAGCTAAGTGTAAGAGAGCATTACATATCCTTAATTTTTCAAAACAATCACCATGTGTTGGTGGATCATTCTGCTGTAAATACATCAGTTTTGTCCATGTGCTGTGTTTCCATGTATTAAAGGGAGCTGGCATGTCACTGAGTCTCTGTGCTTTGCATATGTGTTGTGTGATTACAGTGGTGGAAGCAGCCAGTCATCCATGAAGACGGCAGCGGCTCACAGATTTGCTGCACAGCTCTGGGGCAATGGCATTACACAACACGTTGGCAGGAAAAGCTTTGTGCACACGAGAGACTGTGGCCATGGAAGCTCTGGAAGAGACCAGAAAAACTGTCATACAGCTGGCTCTAGGTAGGAGGACTGTGGGTTTTTTTTTTTTAGTTTATCTTAAATTTTTGAATTGTAAACAAAAATCACACTGTAAAACCGTGGCAAGCATGAACAAGTGCCATAGCGACTACTCACTTTTTCAGTGACCCAGGTGAATTTCCCATTTCCCATAAAGAGTTTTAAGCCTTGAACCAAAGCAAACAGCTCCAAGATGAATTACAGGATTTCATCCTAAATATAAAATAAAATAAAATAAATAAGAAAAAAATGACAGTACAGTGTATATAATAAAAAAGGTTACATAGAGATCCTCAAACCAACTGAAGAGGAGATGCAACCAAAAATCAAAAACTCATCTCAGTTGGAGATGTCTGATGAAGGCCCTGACAATGGGTGAAATGTTATTTGTTTTAAACTAATTAAGTTAAAAAATATATATGTTTTCTTCTATAGTGAGAGTTGCACCTTTTCTTCGGTTCAGTATATATAATTGTGCAGTTTTAACTGACTGCATGAATGACTATGCATCATTAACAAAGTACTGTAGGCCTACATTATATATACTGTACAGTATACTATTGAGTATAATATATAATTTGTGACTCTGGACCACAAAACCAGTCTTCAGTCGCTGGGGTATATTTGTAGCAATAGCCAGAAATACATTGTATGGGTCAAAATTATCGATTTTTCTTTTATGCCAAAAATCATTAGGATATTAAGTAAAGATCATGTTTCATGAAGATATTTTGTAAATTTCCTACTGTAAATATATTAAAACTTAATTTTTGATTAGTTATATGCATTGCTAAGAACTTCATTTGGACAACTTTAAAAGCGATTTTCTCAGTATTTTGATTTTTTTGCACCCTCAGATTCCAGATTTTCAAATAGTTGTATCTCGGCCAAATATTGTCCGATCCTAACAAACCATACATCAATGGAATGCTTATCTCAATTTCGAAAAATTGACACTTAAGACTGGTTTTGTGGTCCAGGGTCACATATGTATTACAAAGCATTCAAATATACGCAAAGGAGTATTTTATTTTTCAAATATACACAAAATATGCACAAATCGGACAGCTCCAAGATCCGTAACATTACAATACTATCAAAAAGTAATTTGAAAATCAAAGAAACAAGTAAATGATTCCGGATACGATCAGAAATGATGATGCAATATAAAGCTGTTGGCTGTAAGTATAAACATTCTTGAAGCAAACTTTTGCCTGAATGATTGTTAGATTCACTGTTTTGAGCATTTAGTTTGAGAATGCCAGTACAGAATGACGCGTGCGATAAGAGTCAACAGTCACTAGGGTGTGCAACAGTAGCAGCAACAGCCTCCCCCGGGTCCTATAATGCCCGTCCGGTAAGGTCTTTTATTTACTTAGGGGGTGCTGTTGGCCTACTTGTAATAAAACGAAAGTAAAATACACAAATAACATTAAGATTGTGTTTCTGATTAAATAAAGCAGTAATTGATGTCATAAAATCACGAGTATGGTTTGATTTAAAGGTCAGAAGGTATAGCTTACATGAATAAAAATCACAAACAAGACACTTGTAAATTAAAAAAAAAATTATATATATATATATATATACAGATTTATTCATTAATGTGTAATATGTTTTTTTTTTTTCAAATGGATTATGAAAACTTAAATACAAGGAGCTCTAAAAGATTTTCAGAATTTGTACAACTCTTTTGCTTTAGACTATCTACAAATGTTAAATATTCAAATAAAATGTTAAGGATTGCTTTATAGTTGCTTTATAGTTATTTTCAAAGCTTTCAATGTACTCTTATTACAAAAGAACTTCATTGTTTATTTAATTCTCAAAAGTATGAAATGAAAAATGAAAAATGAAATTAAACCAAAATGAAAAAAAAAAATATTTGTTTATAATCTCTTGTACAGGAGAGACTTGGTGTTGTTTCCAAACAAAAGGAATTAAATTAAATGTTTAATGTTAATAAAAATTTTTCATCCATCTCTGATAATGGTCTTAAAAGTTGCTATGGTCATGCAGGTTTATTTACGCAATAAACTCATTGCCACGAGAAAAATATGTCGTTCCCTCAACATAAGAATTCGTGGCCACGAGAAATGGATGTCGTTCCCTCAACATAGCATCTCGAGGCCACGACATAATATCACGTTCCCTCGAGTTAATATGACGTTCCCTCAAATTAATATATCGTGGCCACAACATATTATCACGTTCCCACGAGTTATTATGTCGTGGCCACGAAAAAAAAAAATAAGTGAACCGAACATGTCAGCTCCCGGGCTCTGTACTTATTACTAAATAATCAAATATATACAAAGTTTTTGTTGAGAATGGAGGACTAGGAGTGCCATTTAAAAATAAAATGAAGAAATGTTTTAAATATCCTAAAGAAATATCCTTTAAAACTTTTTGTTGAAAGTTCATTGGTTGCTCTCATCATGCATGGACCGTCCAATGCCATTACTTTTAACTCAACTGATAAATGGATGATTTAAAATAAAATAAATAAATAACAATTATAAAAGTTTCAAAAAATGCATTTTAAAAGGTAGTTGTTCATGCATTTCAATTCATTATTTTGTTACGTTTAACTTTGTAAATATTAATTAAATCATTTTAAATGTCTCTTTGTTAATTAAAAAAAAAAAACTTTACTTAAAATTGTAACCATGAATTAAATAAACCATTTTAGCCTATGTATATTTGTGCCAATTTGAAAAAAAGAGTAATGTATCTATTTACTAAAAAATTTTACTCATTGATTAATTCAACAGTTTTAACTATCTATTTGTCAATTTGAAGAAAAAAAAAATTATTTAATGTATCTGCTTACTTTTTTATTTTTAAATTAAAAAAAATATAATTGATTGATAATTGATAGTCCTGTGAGTGTGGAGAGACAGATTCAATTATATTTTTCACATTTTTTATGCAAATGGTGTATTGACAAATAATTTGAGACCAAATCATTTGTGGTTGTGAGTAACATTTCTTTTTTAGCATCTCATTTTTGCAAGTATATATGAATATGTGACTGTATGAATAAACACAGAATACATTATCACAACACACGAGACAACGCTGTCAGTAATTGAACTGACTCTATCGGATAGCAAGGAGAGTTTATTTTGGTTGCGTTCTAAACCCTCTCTTGTCATAAAAGTCACTTGAGAAATTGTGAGGAGCCATAAATATGCAATTACATGTGCCTCGCTGCATAAGAAGAGCCAGAGTTGCAGATGCTGCATTTGTGACCATATTAATATGCACCTGTCTGGCTTTCTCAAAAGGCAAGCGTTGTTTAAGCATAGCAGGGAGACTTGAGAGAAAACAGCTCCTCATTCATATTCATATCTCTCTCTTTCTCCCTCAAACACATTTAGCACGGCTGACTTGCAGGCAGAGTTGTACTCGTGTATTCTGGACAGCTGGCTGCATTTGTTCTCTCTGTCCTCATTAGCAAATAAAACTTCACTCTTCATTTTGTTTTTCATGAATGTCTTTTTTTGTATATTAGTAATAATACAAATAAAATTAATTAATTAATTAATTAAATTTATTTATTTATTTATTTATGGAGCTTCATGAAAAACAAAATGAAGAGTCAAGCTTCGTAATTATGCTCATAATAAATGACACTGACACTGTTACTTTGTTTTTGGTAACACTTTTTAATAACTTTCATTAATAAATCATTAACAAACATTATATAATGCTTAACGGAGCATTAGTTCATATATTCACATAGCTAGAAACATGAGATAATGTGCTTGTTAATGTTTACTATACTTATTAAACATTAATTATCTGTTGCATAATTGGACATCATTAGGTAATGTAAATTACAATGCTTACAAATGTCATTAAACTTTTAATACATATGACCATGCACATCTTGAAAATCTACAAATGATTTTGACAGATATTATACAATGATTAAAAGCTTTTGTAAATGTACAACACTTCTGCTGCTACTGAGGTGCGATACGGTTACGGTTAGGCTCAGGTTTGGTGATACAGGTAGGTTTAAGGGTTGGGTCAAATGTAGAGTTATATCCTCTTGAGACCCGGCAAAACATTTTAGGAAAAAAATAGTATTTTTTTTTCATGTCATTACATTGTTTAGAGCAGGGGTGCCCAAATTCGGTCCTGGAGGGCCGGTGTCCTGCAGAGTTTAGCTCCAACTTGCCTCAACACACCTGCCGGGAAGTTTCTAGTATGCCTAGTAAGAGCTTGATTAGCTGGTTCAGGTGTGTCTAATTGGGGTTGGATCTAAACTCTGCAGGACATCGGCCCTCCAGGACCGAGTTTGGGCACCCCTGGTTTAGAGCATTAAAAAAAAATAAAAAATGATATTTCATTCATAAGTTATGCTACGTCCTTGGTAGAGGACATCGGGACTCAATAAAAAAAATAAAATAATAATAAAAAGACATGAATGAACATGCATAGGC